AAATTCTAAAGTTCTTTAGATGCTTTGGGAGCTGTCAGATACAAGGAGAAGACAGTGGAGAAGAAGGAGGTGGTTGTGTCCTGTTGCTGATGTTGGAAATGCCAGCTTTTCTTCAGAACAGGGAAATATAGGAAGAGGGTGGGTTGTCACACTTAAATTTGTTGGATGTTTGTCAAAAGGTAAATACCAAAAAGTACTGTGGTAGCCAAACCACCACAAAGATTCAGACAAACAAAGCTTTCAGAAATGTTACAGGAATGCATTATTCAAAGCATAAGCAGATGCCTTGTGCCCTATTCTCTTTTATGGGTGTAAGTTGAGTAACATGTACCATGGTGCAGAGTAGACTGGGAGTCCCACGTGGCTCTGTCAGGATGGGACTTGGCCTGTAGAGAGAGTTATGGCATTAGTTACCTGAATGGATGCCCCCGTGGGGTATAGTTAGGCTGTTTCTTAAGAGCGCTAAGTCATACAGTTTAGGATGGAACTTTCGGACGTCTGGTTTCTATTTTTTCCTGGAAAGCTGAAGATCTCCAGCAAGCCCCACTCTTGATTTAAGGTTGGCATCATTCCTCATCAAAAATGAAAGTATGTGCTGTGTCATTAGGACTTGGGTGTCTCTAGAAGCTATACAAATATATTCTTCACCTACGTATCCCCAAACAAGGGGGGAACCTCTGGTATCAAACCAGGCTTTGCAGCTGCTTTCTTTTGAGAGTCTAAAACAAAAGTCTGGGCACCAAAATTTACATTTGATTTACACAAATTAGAATTAACATCTTGGATCTTTGCTAATTGCCAGCAGGGTGACTTTACCTGGAGGCTGACAGGGTGAGGTTTGAATTAGTTGAACTTCTGAATCTTCCTGATGTTTCTCAATTGCTGTTTGTCACTCCTGCAAAGCTCTGATATCCCCCGAGGAAGTTCAAAATCCAGTGGACCTTAGACAGTCATGAATCCACATATGACAGTTTTCTCAGCATGTCATTTTAAAGTTCTGAAGAAAAAATGTAACCCAACAGTTTGTGAAGGGAATAGAAAACACTAGAAATAATTAACATACTTGATTTTTTTAAAATCACAACATGTTCTGGAGGAAAAAAAGGTGTAGAAAATTCTTCTTTCCAACAGAAGAAATAAATATGACAAGAATAAGAAAGCTGAGGTTGCTTTGGAACAGGAGAAAATAAAGAGGCCAAAGGAAGGAGAAATACGTAGATACCAAGAGAAAGAATGAAGAAACAAAATGTACAGCACGTTTTGAAGCACTTGTATTTGCAACAGACATTTCCCAGCCATTCTGCAAGTTACATGACTGAGAAACTTGAATCTTGACTGCTGATCAGTGAAGTGGCATGTCCAGTTTTATAAATTATCTGGCAATAGTCCCATGTCAAATGCACTAGCATGAATAATAACCACATAAAACCTGTTAATATATTAATTAATATAGTGCCTCAGACTGTGAAACTTCACATACGAGTTAATTATCACAATGTTAATGAGTGGTGTGATGGTAAAAACAGAGTGGGTAAGTTCATTTGATCGGTGCATTTAAGAAGTTAGGTATTCATTATAGTGCTTAAATTAGAAGTGGATAACCTCCATATTCCCACAGTTCCTCTCATCCACACTGTTAGCGATTGCACTGCACTGTGGATGCAAATAATTAAAAGCTGTTCATTAACAGATATTAGCTGTCTCTGTTTTGCATTAAGGTGTCTCAAGTGTAGTGTAGCTATTGTGCATCCTTTCTGTACACAGGAATACTTTGGTTTTCTTTATCTAACAATTTGGGGAAAACACGAAGAAGAATGGAATCTTCAGTTTCTTGGCTTCCAGTCTTTGATGTTTATGAACATTAATCATACCTAGGAAAAAGAGAAAGCTGAATCTAAAAATATGTTCTTTTCAACAGTCTTGGGCCTGCTGCTTTAATTAATGTTTTCAGTACCCAGGAGACAATTTACAAAAACAGCTTCAGCAGATAGCAAGCAGTAGAGCCTCGGTAATGAGAGGGTAAAGCACAGAGGCCTCTTAATTTTGGGGCAACCCAAAGATAAACCTTGCTTCATGTTCGTACCCTGAGTTTTGAACACCATGTTTGGTGTTTAGCAAGACTGCATGGCACATGGACAGATAAAGGATAATGTGCCTCCATTTTTTTTGATAACTCAAAACTTTTTGGATTGGAAGGGACCTTAAAACCTGTTTAGTTCCAACCCCCTGCCACAGCCAGGGACACCTTCTACTAGACCAGGTTGCTCCAAGCCCCATCCAACCTGGCCTTGAACACTGCCAGGGATGGGGCAGCCACAGCTTCTCTGGGCATCCTGTGCCAGTGCCTCAGCACCCTCACAGGGAAGAATTTCTTCCGAATATCTCATCAAAATCTCCCATTTGTCAGTTTAGAGCCATTCTGCCTTGTCCTATCACTATGCGCGCTTGTAAAGGTTATAACTGTTTCGGTTTGCAGAGAGACAAAGGTGAGAGTCCCACTGGGAGTGGACAGCTGGGTTGTCATAAAGGAAATATTTATGAGCAATGCTAACTCAGCTGTTGCGTCCATCTCTACATATAGCTTTGATTTGCTTCTTGTTAGTAGGCAGACTTGTTTCTTTTGTTGCTTAATTTTGTCTCACATTTGAGACATTCTGATAGTCTTTAAAACAGCAATACTCCGTATGATGACTTTTCCTTCTTCCGAAGATGACTTATTTTGATGGAAGTTTTCAGTCATAACTACCAGTTTATAAGGTAGATTTTGTCTTAATTTTGTTATGGTCTTTTAAAAGATTATATAATTGGCTATCTGTTACTCTCAACAGGTCATTTGTTTTCATACATTTGAGCATGTGGCGTATAAAAGCAAACAACACATTTTGTTCAGTTTTGTAACTGTCTTGCATTCCCCAGGCAGCTTGAATATGCTCACCTGGATAATGATGCTTAAGCCTGTTCTCGACAGCAACTGAAGTGTTATATACAGGACTTGCAAGGACTCTATTAGTAATATTTCACACTTGTTTCAAGGAAAAAGGAAATCCAGGAATTTCTTTTAAATGGCTTGAGCTTAATATGAAGCAGCAGGAGAAAAAGCCTATGCATATTTTATATATATATATATTATATAGTTTCATCCAACTGAGCGGGCAGCTGTAAAAGAAAGAAATCAACAGCACCACTTAAATATTCTCAACTGAAGTCTCTTTTGTTTCTCAAATTTCAGAAGTTTCATATGCCTTCAAGCTTCAAAGAAGGGTCAGCACAGATATGTATACATGATGAGCAACGGATACTTTTCTGAAGGCTTCAGAGTAGACTTCATAGTATTTAAAAGTCCAAATACTGATCCAAATTATCTGTGTTCCTAACACTGCAAATATATGGTAATTTGAAATTTCATTAGGGTCAAGTATAGCTACTCTGTGTTTTGCCACAAGATTTTAAGGCTTGATGCTGAAGGCTATTATGAAACCTAGCACTTTTCTGTTTTCACTTCAGTAGGAGGAGATATCCCCATACATCCGGCACTGTAATCAGTAATGCCTGCTTCTTAATGCTACGTTGGTATTGTAGAATGGGGACAGTAAAAGCTAGAGTAGCTAGGATCAAGTCTCTAGTGAACAATTCATTTTGTTCCTTTTAGAAACTCCTAATTTTGCTGCTTATTAAACAGCAAACTATTTGCCTAAACAAAAAGAGTAACAAACTTGTAGAATGCAGAATTTTCACCAAGATTCCTTACTCGTCTCTTGATACTGTTGGATTCATTATACTCCCTATTCAGTGGATTTGTTCAACATCTTTGTCGCTGACATGGACAGTGGGATTGAGTGTGCCCTCAGCAAGTTTGCCAATGACCCCAAGCTGTGTGGTTTGGTTGATACGCTGGAGGAGAGGAATGCCATCCAGAGGGACCGTGACGTGCTTGTGAGGTGCGCTGATGCCAACCTCATGAAGTTTAACCATGCCAAGTGCAAGTTCCTACACCTGGGTCAAAGCAATCCCAGGCACAGCTACAGGCTGGGCAGAGAAGAGATTCAGAGCAGCCCTGTGGAGAAGGACTTGGGAGTGCTGGTCGATGAGAAAATGAACATGAGCCGGCTTCATTGTGTGCTCGCAGTCCAGAAAGCCAACCTTATCCTGGGCTGCATCAAAAGGAGTGTGACCAGTAGGTCGAAGGAGGTGATCCTGCCCCTCTACTCTGCTCTAGGAGACCTCACTTGAAGTATTGTGTGCAGTTCTTGTGTCCTCAACATAAAAAGGACATGGAACTGTTGGAACAAGTCCAGAGGAGGGCCACGAGGATGATCAAGGGGATGGAGCACCTCCCGTATGAAGATAGGCTGAGAAAGTTGGGGCTGTTCTATAGAGAAGAGAAGGCTGTGTGGAGACCTCATAGCAGCCTTCCAGTATCTTAAGGGGGGGGCCTATGGGGATGCTGGGGATGGACTCTTCATTAGGGACTGTAGTGATAGGACAAGGGTTAACGGGTTCAAACTTAAACAGAGGAAGTTTAGGTTAGATAAAAGGAAGAAGTTCTTTACTGTGAGGGTGGTGAGGCACTGGAATGGGTTGCCCAGGGAGGTTACAAATCTTCCATTCCTGGTGGTGTTCAAGGGCAGGTTGGACAGAGCCCTGGGTGTCATGGTTTAGTGTGAAGTGTCCCTGCCCATGGCAGGGGCGTTGGAACTTGATGATCTTAAGGTCCTTTCCAACCCTAACTATTCTATGATTCTAAGAAGTTTTATTCTCTCAACTTTTAGTTAAGGGGAACTTAAAGCAATTCATTAAAAACTCAAAGGTTTTGTTTCAGCCAGGAATGAGAAAGGAAGACTCTGATAATGTTCTGATAACGGAGTGGAGGCATTGATGATTTGTTTCCTTGCAGTACCGTATCAGTGAGTTGAAGGCACTGACAACCACTTCCAAGGAGCCTAATAGGTGAATTATGTGTTAAAGAACAGGCATATTGCTAATGACACAGGATTTTACAGGCTGGGAAGTTCATAGAGGATCAAGTACAGAGATGAACTACAAGAAATGTTTGTGGAGACTGTTTTGTAAGAGGAGCCCAGGAGAGCCGGGCTTGGGCAGCTGAACACACCACTAGCAGAGGAGGTAAGTCAGCTCCTCAAGGATGCATGAGGAGGGAAAGAAACAGAGGAAAAAAATAACCAAACAACTGAACCACCATACAATGTTGGCATGAAATAAAAATTGTGTAAAGTACCTATGAATGCAGCAAGATTGGAAATCAGAGGCTCTGTCCAAAGTTTTGCTCTTTGGTTTTTCTGTCACAAAGCAAGGGCAGGGAAAAGGGTCTAATTCTTCCAGCCAGTTCCTTACTTCTGTGCACATTTGCTAGCATTAATAGCCAAAATATGCACCTCCACCAGCTTTTCCTTTTTTTTTTTTAGTATGTTGACATCACTGCCTTTTATTTATTTGCACAGTGTGGACAATTAATACCTCTTTGTCCAGATTTACATTGCAGTCTCAGCAGACAACAGCAATACAAAGATAATGGTTGTTCTGCTGTATGATACCAACATTAAGTTATTGCCATCCTGAAAGACCCAATGAAGAACTACACTCCATCTCATAGAATGATTCAGGGTATTTTAGTCCAAAGGTGAGGTGATCATTTTAGTCTGAAGGTGGAGGCACAGAAATGTGGTGAGCAGCTAGTACAGTAGAAGGTGATGCCACTATTAATAAACCACTTGAGGGAAAACTTACTGTCTTTAGTATCATTCTAGAAACAGCCCCACACTTATAAACCAGAGTGGATAGATCATACGCATGGGACTGGCCCACTGCCTAGACTAAGAAAGGTGTCTTTTTTTTTTTTACATCATTATTCTCAGCAGTAAATCTGCAGGATATTTTTTAATTAGAAGTAGTATTTTTCAGATAGGCCTCTGGAAAACATTTAAGGTCTTTATTATATATGTACAAGAAGCTGGTGTTTTCGCAGCAGTAATAAGTCAAACAGCTTACAGTGAAACAGCGTTGTAACAACATAGAGCTGCACAAAAGGTTTTACTGAATGGACACTGTAACACTTCACAAGCAAAAAAAACCAATGGACTACTTACAAAAAAAAGAGACTTAAATCCTGGATTGATGAGGCAGGGCAAAGGGAAGAGTGAAGTGGTATGGAGGGAGAACGTGGTGTGGAAAATGTAGTTGTATTCTCTGAAGAAAAAGTGTATGTGTGTGTGTGCATGCACCCACGTGGTAGAATTTTTAAATGGTCCATCTCTGTCTTGCAGAATAAACTAAACAAACGTTTTTTATGTAAATGTGAATTTCTGGGCTTAGTGCTTTTAGTACAGGGGACAATGCTATGAAAGGTGTCTCTTTAGAAAAAAAAACAGCTCCTTATTTTGTGATGAATGTAAATCTAACATGGAGGACTTCTTAATATCTGTTTATCAGAATGTATTGGTGTTGTTATTACTTAGAAATGAAGCATTCATTGTTATTTCTGTTCATCTGTTTCCTCAGTGTATTCACCTCTTTCTCAGTGGCTTGGATTGCAAGATTTCTGGGACAGGAACTTGAGTTTTCTGCCACCAATCTCAGCAAGATTCTGGGCTCTGAAAATGTTACAGCTGTAGAAAACATACTAAACCACTAAGGTCTTTCTGTATTTTAGGTAATTTATACCTCCACTGGGCCCTCTGCTTCAATACAAAAACCTGTTTTCATGAGTATTATTTTCTTTCCAGCACCTCAGACTAACCAGGAGCTATTTTGACTTAGCTCTTCACATCTTTTTCCACAGCTGATAACCTCCCCAGCCAGCATTTGCATCTTCCATGGAATGAAGCCAGTAGCCTACATGTTTGGTAAAAGGAAAATTTTTTCTTCAGCTCATTAAAGTAATTCAGTTTGGATCTGCAGCAGAATTAGTCTGATCAGAATTTAGGCTGACATACTTGGTTGTCAAGGGTATTGTACGTTTGGGGACAAGCTATTGCAGTGCAAAAATGATACAGCAAGTACCATTTGGTTTACTTGGCATTTTACCAGTTGTTAGCGTCAGTTTTCATCCAGCAGAGGCCAGTTGAAATTGCTGATGCAAGAAGTGATAATATTCTTGATGTGAGATGAATAGGACATTTTAAATTTTATACTAAAGTAGAGAATAATTTAATCTCTGTTAAAGAAGAAAATGCTAAAATGAAAAAAAACAAACAGTTACTACAGAATTAACTTGTCAGAGCTGTAACTGCCTGTGAATCATGTAAAGGGAATCTAATCAATTAATATCAATTAGTATCAATTAATATCATATGCCATGTGTAGCTGAAGCAATAGAGAAAATAACATTGCTGCAAAGGGCTTTGGCAAACTTCCAATATAATCCTCTTCCCTTCTGATGTCTTTGCCCAGGTATGTTTTGCATTTTGCTTCTTAGTTTGGTAGTGCATATCCTGAATTTGGAAGTCACAATTTAAACATACCCAATGCCTGAGTTTTTTGTTGGTTTATCACTAAGTTAGTCTATCCAAAGTTATCCAAAGTAGTCAGGACCCAAATAATAGCGTTTGCAGGGAGATATTATTGTGCTTCTGTCCCATCTAACCATTGTCTTATCTTGCCCTGGCACTCTGGCTCTACTTTACACAAATTTCATTCCTCACTTCAAACAATTCATCTCTAACTCTACACAATGTGTCCTCTTAATTTAATTTCATTGCTAATGCATTAGAGAGATCGTTTGAGACCACCTCTACTTCCTGTGCCAGTATTTCTGTCCCTGCTGAGTTTCTTTCCCATTGATGAAACCTCATGGTCACAGAGTGACAGCAAGATTGCCACCAAACACAACAGAGGTCATCACGTGCTCTACTCTGCATCTTCTGATTGCAGGCACTCTGCAGAGCTCAGCCATGCTGTGGGACTGGCCTTTTCATTGCCAAGAATAATCTCTTTTCTCTTTAAGGCTCAAAGCTTCTTCTTAATTATATCTCTTCCTTCCTGAAATATTGCCACACAACCATCCTTGGTCAAATTGCAGTGTAAGCTTAGGGGTGCAGTGATTATAACCTTTACTGGTTTTTAAGTCCTATATATGCTAAATCATCCATAGAAATCTAAATGCAGTTTACAGAGCTGTACATACACAAACTGCACACGGAGTGTGAATATAAATGTTGCTATACAAATAATCTGTAAATAAGAAGTCTGCAATTATTTTTCAGCTCTTCCGTGGCAGGAAGGTGTATTTGTCTTCATTATGTGAGTCTCCTGGATTGTCTTCAAACTTCATTTGTTTGCCTGTTTAGTTTTTCTGCTTATGTTACAGTTTTCGGTTCTGAGTTGAATTTCTGTTGGACAGGCACCAGGCTGGTACTTTAACTCTTTTAATCCTTTGTTTCAGCAATGTCTTTTATTTTGAGGAGTGAGGAATATGCAGTTTGATCAAATGCATATTCATTTAATTAATTTTCAGGCAGTAGGATCAATGCAATAGTTGAGATCATCTGGTATGTGTTTCCACATGCGATTCTCCACCTTGGAGCTCATCCAGTCAAAGAAACCCCTGCCTTATGAAATTTCAGACTACAAACCAGGCAAAGCAGTCTGACATCAGAAGGCAATGTATACTTTTCATTATTTATCACTAGCAGTTGCAGCTGCTCCTGAAGGTATGTGAAAGGACCTTTTAGTTGAGTTCCTTCCCCAAATTCCCACTGCTCCAAAAAAACAGTAGAAAGCAAGCATATGACAATATTTCAGGCTGCTGTGTAATGATGTGGAAAGTTGCTCTGGTGATTTACGATTTAAAGCTGAATTCTCCAGCTGCTTTTCACAGGTCAGGTAAACTCTCTCTGCCTTAGTTTCCCCACCTGGAATAAAAGTACCTAACTTTCTCATTGGGGAACTCTGGACTTTAATTATAACCAACAATTGTAGATTGCTATATAGAGCGGAGGAGCAAACAATCTGGAGTGTGCAGTTTATTCAATGACTTGAGCCTGCTAGCAGAAAATCCTTGAGCAGATGGTGTTGTTATCAACTACAGAAGAAAAATCATTCCAGTCTGAATATTTCTGCTTTGTTTTCTTTCGCTTACAGAATCTTCAGCCCCGAGGAAATATTTCTCAATGGCGAGGAATCCTTTCTTTAAAGAGCTGCCTTCAAAAGCCCAGTGCTCATGGGACTGCTGCACCTCCTTCTGCACCATTCCTAAGGAGTTAGGTGGAGGGGCCTTCCATATGCAGCTTGACTGAAAACCACAGGGGACTGTCTGCATTTCAGGGAAGATTTTACCATATTCAGAAAGATTTTAACCATCTTGTCTTGGATGAAGGCTTCTGATAATTGGACAGCCTTTCTTTGACATCAGGAACCAAAACGTCTGTTTTCAAGGGTAACGGAAAGGTAGCCAATCAAAGACTAAAAAATTCTAGCTATCACGCAATTTGACAGAGATGTATCACATAAATTCACTGTTTGCTATTCAAGAAAAAAGTTAGTTTATCATAGAATTTAACTTATTTCATAATGCTGTACCTCGTTTTATTTGCTTTATTTTTTCATTTCTATTCCCCTGAAGACTAATCTAAGGTTTATATGAATTTTCAGAGAGCTATATTATAAAACATAGTGTTGCGCTCGTCACTTCATAGCAGCCAGCACATCAAAATAATGATTGTGTACTAGGTTATATGTATTACATCTTAAACTGCAATTAATAGCCTTGCAAGGGCCCAAGCGCATAGCATTTGACAGCTAACGGTTAGTGTGATGATGTGGACTGTTACAAACAAGCAATCAACCTCTGTCCCAACACAGAAAGTAAACAAGATGTTATCTCACTGCTAAAAGGATTTTGCTGCTGAGTGGGAATTTATGTGGGCTTTAGTTTCTTAAGTCTGAAACTGGATTTCCTTTCTCTACCTACATTTCTTCTGTCTACAGTGAAACATCTCGTCGTAGAAGTGCCTAAACCCCACAGAAGTCCTTATCCTTGATTCAGGAAGCCTGAGAAATCACTGCCTTTGGATCCTGATTTTCCCCTAGGAGCAAGCAACTCCAAATGTCTGATCCCAAATCTTTTGTTAAAGTAAGTCTTGAGCCTCTCTTTGTGTCAGCTCCTGACAGTAAATGTAGGGATTTCCTTTACTTTTCAGACTTGACATGAGTTGGACCTGATAATCTTGGAGGTCTGTTCCAACCTAACTGATACTACGATTCTGTATGAGTTATGCTAGAGAATATGACATGCCCAGGATCTATGGTGTTAGATGTTATATTGAGATTTACTTGAAATTAAAAGTAAATATTCCAAATCAAATGACACAACAAACATGCTTATTTGAGTTGCAGATGGGAGAAAGAGTTAGTTAAAGGAACATCAGTGAAAAATAAAGACTTCGAAATATATTTTGACGTTAAGTTTTTCCTCACAAGCCATCTGTAAAGGAAAAGTTAATTAGAAATAAACACAATTAGCAATTATGAGTGAAACTAAATGGATGTTTTATTTCACAGATTGGTTGAAAATAAAGGCCTCATGGCCAAACACCATTGATAAGATCAGTGTTCTTTGTGTTTAAAAAAGCTTGATGAAGGCAAATACGGCTGTCTTATTTGGTCAATACAACACATCTTACTGGCTAACAGCTTTGTTTCATGCAAGTATAAAACGCAATCTGATAAAAATCCAAGCAGATGTGGCCTTCAGGACGTGATTTCCAAGAACAAAGGAGAAAGGATGAAGGGGTAATCCCATACATGGTTTCACTGCTGTTCCTCCATCATGAAATGTACTACAAGTTACTGCCTCCAAAAGTGTCAGCTACTGTATGGATTTATACCTCAGTAACACAAGAAACTGTAATTTTTTTATTCAGCAGAGCCACTGTTTGGGGAAGGAAACTCTGGGACTAGCCAGGTATTGAGTTTTCTGCTTTCACTTCATACTTCAAGTAAAGCCACTTGACTTGGGTTATTAAACTCAACATGGAAAGGTAGGAAAAACCTTCATAGGAAAGTTAACCTGTCATTTCTCTGACCAGTTCAAACTTTCCTTTTTTAAGATTTAAAACGTGTTTGGATTTGTCCTTTAAAACTCCAGATCTAATTAAAGCAAAATGAAACCTCTTTATTGATTCCAGAAAGATTTGGCTTATCAGCACTGTCATTAGAAAGAAGACAACACTTATTAGGACATCTTCGTTTTTCTGTGTAGTCGTATCATGCTAGACAAAGTGAAAGTTAACTTCTTGTAACCAGCATCACCCATGTCCAAAACCAGACTATCATTCATTTTACTCTTCCAGATGCCTCAATGTTGTCTTAGAATGCTGTGACAATTTCAAATCAAACTACTGAAATGATGTCAATGTATTTTGAGACTGATTATAGTTACGTGGATTTCCTTGAATTAAACTGTTTGTGTTAAAAGGTTATTTGAAAAATTAATATCTGTACCTGTGATTTTCAGCATTCTCCCATTCACACTGCTGGCAGTGGTGGTAAATACACTGGACACAGAGGTGGAAGTTGATTTTACAGGAAGCCCTGTAGCAACACCTATTTGCTAGTTCCTTCCTCTCCATGAGAAACAGAGAAAACAATCTTTGATCAGGCCTTTCAGCATGACCCATAATAGATGAAGCTCTGCTTTCCTGAAGGAAAGGTCATGGCACCATCCTGAAGCTGACAACAATCATCAATGAGATTCTTCACCAAGGTGCACTTTATTTTCTTTCTTTTTCCCTGAGCCTCTCTTTTTATTCTTGCTTTTTACCATAGAAGTTGACAAGATGTAAATTTCATCTTTATTCAGTCCTAGATGATTTTGTTTGCATTTTAAAAGTCACTCAGAGAAAGAAAAAAAAGATGTGTTATATCACAATGGGAAAAGGTAGTGGAGGCATCTGCTAATGAAATGGACACGTTTTTGAAAGTGCTAAATATACAAATACCAAACAGACGATGACTCCTCATAAATCTTCATTAAGATAATTATTTCCTGAATTCCAGATGTTAAAAAAAAAGAAAAGACTCAAAGCAAAATTGTGGGTTTGGTCATATTAGAATAATATTAAACCTTTTTTAAGTCAGTGATTTAATCTTATTTACATAACTAAATTCAAGTGCAGAGCTAGTTATTCTCTGACAGCGTATGCCATGTTAGACAAGATGGACATAGATAGCTATAGAGTATGTGTGCCATGTTAGACACATAGCTGAGGAAGGGTTTAGATTTGTGATTTTTCTAAGAACTACTTCTGGCTGATTGTATTTTAAAATGAGCCTAAGCTTTATACGGGAACAGGTAGTGTTAATTTAGTCATAATTTAAGGTCTGGAGAAAAGAAAATAAGGTAAGATCTAGACAGCATGAGCCAATGTGGTCAGCTTTTATATGTCAAAACCATGTTTTAATTCCCAGTCTGTTCAGAAAACGTAAGAGCCAGTACATCTACAGGGCTGATTGGGGCGTGGTGCAGCTGTAACTGAACCAGCTTCCAGTTTAGTTGAGTTGACTAATCTATCACAGCCTCAGTGACACCGCTTCATGGATCATGTGGTGCCATGCCTTGACTTTCTGAGACACCCATCTATACTGGCTGTATAGAGTACTTCTACAGTATGGGGAAGTGTCATTTTCATGCCTGAGTGAAAGTTTAAACTGCCAGTGGTTCAAGCACTGGATAGTTCTGGAATACAGGCTTTTTCCTTCGGGATGTTCTTGCCATTGTGATCACAGAATTTATATTAGAAAGATGCTGTAAAGCTTATTTATTTTTTTAAGTTACTAGTATTTTATATTGAAAACGGTGTTATAGTAGGTCCTAACATGCTGAACTCAAGCTCTTCTCTGCAGAAACTCTTAGAATAATCCCTAGAAATATCCTTAGAAATAAATCCGTAGAATAATCCCTCAGAAAATTCTCTGAGGGGCTGTGAATCCATTGAATTTTTTTTTTCTTGTGAACATAAATCACTTGCAAATTCAAAATATTGTCTAGAAAATTGCAGGGATGTTTTAAAATTTCAACCTAAATTATGCTAGATGTGGGACTATGGCTATAGAAGGGCTCACTTTGCACACATTTGTGTGTGCAAGAATTGGAAACAGACTATAGGAAATGAGCTTGGCAACTGAACTTTGCAAAATATTTGCTTGCAGCATAGAAGTAATCTTTCAATTTTCAAATAATAAGGAATATTCTTCCAAGTGAGAATTATTAAGGCTACATAAAACATTTATCAGTGGGTTTCTTGTGCATACCATTTCATGGATAGATAAATCAGAATGATGATGAAGGTACATTTTGAAGAACTTGTTCAGTGATGAGATCGTATGTCACATGGCTAGACATTTAGTCTTTCATGTTTAATGTAGTTCTGTCTGGATTAATATCATTTTATGAATCACTATTGGTTTTGTTTTCTTTAAACTGGAAAAATCTGACTAGAAACTTTTGCACAGTGCTTTTTGAAGACAGCTCTATTTTAGAGCCTGTTGTCATATATTTGGAGGTTTTAATAGTTAAAATGTTCATTCTGAAAAATAGAGTAAAAACTTAACAATTGAGTCTAAAATGTAAACTTGTGAAGACCCTTCTCTACAATATATTCTTAGTAACTTTTAAATTGCAGAAACAATTTCCTTTTTTTTCTTATTCAGGTATTTGTAAGCATTTAGTGTGAAGACAACTAAAGATGCTGTGAAAAGAGATAGGAAATAGCAGCCAGCTAGTAATTTTCTTATGATGAGTTTTGGAAACAAGACCATAAAAGCCCATAGTTGTAGTTGTGATCTATGTAATGATTTACCCTGAAAGGTTCTCACAGCTTTAGGCATCCATTCTGCAAGAAACAAGCTAACAAGACCTTTAAGGCATGAATAAAATCGGTAGGGGAAAAATGTTTACCAGCAATCTATGATATTTACTTTGTCCTGAGAATTGAAGGGAAAGGAGCTATTGTTCAAACAGTGCCCAGAAATTTTGTTGCAATTCCAGTTCTGCTCAGTTTGATAAACAACATTTCGTAGTCCTCAGTACAGCAATATCTCAGCTTCTCAAGATAGGTAATCAGGCTCAGTTTCAGTAGCACAAAATGCTGGATTTTTATCTTTAATTAAAAAGAGGTAACAGAATATACCCTGACAGATTTCAGTGTGCTTATCAGCAAAAGACAAAGTATATCTATATTGCTAACAGGCAACTGGCATGAGGATTGTTGATTTAAGTTCAGCCAAGGAGTTTCGGCTATCATTATGGTTTCTATAAGCAAGTTTCTTATTTAAAGAGGCATTAGAGAAAGAACAGCTCATTGCAGAAGGAAAGTAGAAGGACTTTGCCTTCTGTCTCACTACAGCTGCCTGAGGAGGATGGCAGCCTTCTCTCTTCCAT